TTTCGTGTCTTTTGGAATCGAGTTTCGATTCTTCCGTTTTTTAGTTCTTTTAAAATCGAGTTTCGGTTTTTCCGGAACCGCTTTATGGTCCTTTTGGAATCGAGTTTCCGTTCCGTTAAAACTGTTTTTCGGTTTTTGTAAGAACCGCACTGGTCGGTTCGCTAAAGGAACCGGACTGGTCGGTTCGCTAAAGTAACCGGTTCTCCGGTTCCGGTTCCTCCGTTCTCCCCATCACTAATGCTTAGAGACTACTCCCACTGACGGATAGTGGTAAAGGGTAGGAGCGAATATTAGCACCAGGCCCTGATTGCGAATGAAGAGCGCGATCTGTAAAGCAGTGTTACCACTACAGTCACCTTTGCGATGAGCGAAATATTTGTAGGTGTAAGTGATCAAGCGCAAAAAGCAGTATCTCGCCACACTAAACGAAACGGGGTGAAAATCACTACAGAATCTACTAATGCAGTGCTTCTGTAATAAGCTACATCGGATTTGTAACTGAGGCTATTTATTGCAAAAAAAATGCATTAAAGAATTAATAATTAAGTAAATTTATAAACTCTTAAAACAGCTTTCACACACAATGGGCCGAGTAGCTGCTTTTGCTCAATCAGACTAATTTTCAGGCCAAACAACATATGCACTTACATTTTGATATTATGTACACATACATAGTATCTATGGGAGTTAATACATATCGCATGTTTAGTAATAAAGATAGTTATTTCAAAATTGATATTTTGTGTGAAAACCCAATCATACAATTCATATAGTTGACATACAAAAAGACTGATGGAAAGACGCATATCCTCGTCATTTTTGGCAAGTTTTGTTATCTTCTTAGACTGAACAAATACTTTTTAACAAGCCTAGTTGTATTAAGATATCTCCAAAAACGTAAATTTTTAAGTACTTCTCTATATTATTAAACAAAAAAGATTATTTATTTTTTATGTATAAATGTGCATGTTCGTTTGAGTGTATGCAACTGCAAAGCTATCAGTCGTAGTTACAATTATTGCTTTAATTGCTTTGACACGTCACTGTGAAAATAGGTATGAAAAATTAATGCATAAAAATTCAATTGAATATAAAACAAAGAAAAAAAATTGTAATAATGCAAATTAAAAAGCCGCAATATTAAAAAAAAAAAATGAATAAAAAAACGTACATGAAATTTCAATGTTAATGACTTAATTGTGTTTTTTTTGCGGCTAGTGCAACGTGAGTATTGGAGAGATATAATAATAATATAATAGATTGGCGCTTACACATATGTTAGTGTTTGGCCAAGCTTCTCCTCCGATTTGTGGCGTGCGCCTTGATGTTGTCACACAAAGCGGAGGGACCTACAGTTTTACGCCGTCTCCGAACGGCGATTGTATTTTTATGAGAAGCTGTTTTTCATGGCAGAAATACACTCGGAGGTTTGCCATTGCCTGCCGAGGGACGACCGCTGTTAAGAAAAAAACCTTTTTTCTATATTTTTGCGATGTTGCTTTGACCAGGGTTTGAACCCAGGCATTGTGGAGTGGAAGCGCGCACTGCTTACCACTACACCACAGCGGCCGACTGAGAGAGAGATATCTTCTAATAAATTGCTAGGAAATTTGTACTTTATTCATTTAAATACTAATTTAATTATATTATTGAAGAAGCATTGTTTAATAGATTTGAACATTGTTTTAGCAAGTATAATGCATACTGCTGGTTGTATTGTGGCCATAATGGGAATTTATGTGACACTGAATTCCTACCGAAGCAAGCTTCCGTAGTAAGTTATATTATCTACATATGTAAATATAGAAATTTTTCTTCGTTTGTATGGGGTTTTTTTTTTTGGTAGCGGTACGTCGGTCTACAAATATTGAAACATTGGAACAAGAATTGTGAAAAGCTGGTGAGGCGACCAATATAATCTCGCCTAAACTTCTATCTGCAAGGAAAGAGGATTAGAAGCTCATTCGTTAGAAATCATAAAAGGAATACCAGTTCGTAGGGGAAATACTAAAGATTAACTATTCCAAACTTGATGTAGGTGACTTTGCGGTTTTCAAACGCGATGGTAATCAATAATACAGGGTTATTAAAGTATGACGTTTTATCAGTATTTATCACCAGTTATGAAGAAAGGAAAGGAAGCAAACACTGGCTGGAAAGCCTTAGGTAGAAGGTGGCTCGTCAACATTATCAGGAGAAGAATTAGAAAATCAAAGGATAGAAAATCTGATAGATGATTCCCATGGAGACCACGGGTTATTGTGGCGGGCCCCACAAGGGGGGACTCATTTAGACACTACTTAGATTGTCCATTGTGTTACCACATTACACAAACTCTTTGGACGGCAACAAAGTTCCGGAGAGCTTTACGGGAGTGTTGATGAAATGCGCACCGAGGTGCTTAAACCTTAGTCTAGCGAATGCCGGCCAGCTGTGAAGGAAGTGCTGAGATGACTCCGACTCGTCTTCCAAACAGCTGCGGCACTAGGGATCCGTGTGGATATTAAGTGGCAACGCGTGGAACCTGCCAGAATCGAGAGTTGGAGCTTAGCCAGCTGAAAAAGCTCCCTAGACCGCCTGCTGTCAACAACTGTCTTAAAGGACCTAGCAACTTTGCATGTCAAGGTTTTCGGCCAGAGCTCGCTGAGCCGACTGTGAGCCCATCTCTACAGGAGCAGGTAGCAGGTTGCGAACGCAACAACGATGCCCTCCTTGTACGAGGTGATGGTCACAAAAGTGCCCTGCCTAGCAAATTCATCAGCCTTTCAATTTCCAATGATGCCAGCTTAATTTGGAAGTATTCTGAGGCAGTTTAAAGAGAGGTCAGACATTCCTCGACCAATTTCGATCGTACCCAACGCTCTAATTGCTGCTAGGCTATCAGAGTACATATTTACCCTCCTAGTCGGCAAAATATGGATGCGTAGCCAATGGGCTGCCTCTTTCACAACGGCAACCTCTGCCTGGAAAGCGCTGAAGAGATCCTGACAGCAGAAACCTCCTCCATCTCTTCCGTCCAGCCGTGATCCGTCCGTAAATATGTTCTCCCATTCGCCCCTTTGAGGGATGTGTGTGGAGCAGGATCCATTTGGGGCCAGTCTCAGAACACTCCGATCCAGTTATTCCAGTAGAAGTCTAAGATTTTGAGTGCCTAGAGCTTTTGATCCTAATGGTTGAGCGAACCGCAGCTACTTTACCCGCATTGCCAACAGGTACTTACGACTCTGAGCATAGCGTTTAGCGCTAGAATCGAAGTAGTCCGGAGCGCTCTGCTAGGTCAATGGAGGCCCGCCCTTTGCAGGCGATCCAGCGGTCCAATGGACAATGACCCCATATAACATGATTGCCTTGATTATAGTTTTATATAGCCAGTCAAGTCTCGCCCTTGAATTCCAGCATCGTGGGGCCCGAGATGCTTTGACACCAGGATTTATTTCGTCTTTCCTTTGATTTTTTCAGTAATTGTTTGCAAATGTTGTTGTTTCTGGGAAATGTTGCAGTGTTTAGATACAAAATTAATACAAAATTTTCCCAGTTCAGATTCTGGCTTATAAATAAACTTGATGAAAAAACGGTTTATTCGATTGTAAAAATCCGATTTACTCGGTATTCAAAAACCAATTGAAATCAGTTCTGAAAAACCGACTAATTCACCCTAATTGTTATCCACTGTCCATAAAGGCTCATTGTTTCGCGAAAGGGAAACTTTGCTAAGACCTACTCCTATAATAGCGTTAACTCATCCTCTGCCGTAGTTTGGGTCCGATACCCAGTTGGAAGGCAAGTTCACATCAAACCAACCAAGGCCGGTTGTACCCGCATTTGGGTGTTAAGCCACAGCCAGCACGAATACTCCCCGAGGGGCCGTACCCAAGAGCGGGCCAGATAATATAGTATACTCTTGGGGCTCCTGTTCCCCATTATGCCAGAATTAAGTCTCTGGTCAGAGCACGTCGGCGAAACTACTGCCAGCTGAGCCTCCACTCCACTCGAGGACTGGCTTAAATTCCTTAAAAACCAATAGAACTCGCTGGTGAAAAACATCATGAAAAATATAAAGGCACATTCTTAAGGCGAATTTTCCAAGAACGACTTAGTTCTTTCCGCACTTATTGCTATCGTCAGGCAACAACAACTACAAAAGCCGGCTTTTCCGAATTCTCGCACCTGCTTGGGAAACCACTCCGCATTGATGGGGCTTTGTTGATCACTACAATTACGGCGATAAATATGCATACTCAAGTATGTACATAAGTACAGAAACGCGTCATATCGGTTGTACAAATAAACATTTATGTATGTATATGTATTTATGCGGTTAAATGCAAGTCTGAAATAGTTAGAGCACCTTGACACTCAAATTGCTACGTCATAAGCCGGTTGGCAAGGTGACGCTCAGCCACAAAAACTACATACGTAAACACTTTTGATTTGAGTGAAATAATTTGATACAAAACAAAAATCGAAGCCTCAATTGCTGATTTGAGTGTCAATAATTAAGTAAGCTATGCTCACAAGCAGTAATCTCAGCTCAGCTAATTGGCTAAGAATCCATTTCGAATGCACTCAAACCCGTTTTCGGTTTACTTACAAACGTATTCGCGTAGTGGCGATTTGCTAAAAGTTAGCTTTGCCGGTTTCGCAACTTGAGTGCTTCTCTGTTGTGATGCGGTTAAGTGAGTTCGTATGTATGTATGTATATATATTTAGTATGTATGTAGTATATATAAACAAATGTTTGCCAATTAATATGAGCATCTGACATTGAAGCATCTATTACTTAGTTTCGCTTTTTTGTTATTTTTTTGATATTTGTAATATTTTTTTTATATTGTTTTTTTTTGCGCGCATTTGTCATAACAAATCACCGCCTATTGTTTTGCTAGATTTCTTTTTTTTTTTATTATTTATATTTACTTTTTTTATTTAAATATTTCACTGCTGACCAGAGTTTATCTCAATGCAAAGCTTCGCTTGTTTTGTCAGTCACCGCGCAACGGTTTACGGTGAAGGTAATCAAATCAAACGAATCGGCTGATAGTGCATAATGTGGCTATAGGCGTTTCGAAATTTATATATATATATATAGATTTTTTTTTGTAACATACATATGTCCCTGTGTGAATGCATGCAAATAAATATATTTAAAAATTGTGATTTTGTTAGGTCTTTGTGTGCATAAAATTTATTCTATTGTTCAGTCTGATATTTTGTGTTCAGTGAAATGAAACGCTTGATTTTGCTAGCCCTTTGCGTTACGCTGGTGAACTTGAGTGCATTGGTGCGTGCCGAGGGCCAAGGGTAAGTTAAACGAAAATATACAAATAAAAGCTATGATGTGACTATGGCACCTATGGCATAAACCATAAACGCTGTTTTAGAGAAAATGCAACTTTTTGAAAAGAACATTATTTTCTGTTATGCCGAATTTCCACTAGTCATTCAGATGGCAAAAAATCTATGCCATTTAAAAAAAATGCCATGTGGAAACGAGTTTAATGGCAACTTTTCTTAATGTAATGGCACAGATATTTTTTAATGTCCAACTTTGTCATTACAAATTGTGGAAACCTGGCATAATACTGTGGTTATGATTTTGTATACGAATGCATTTTTCTTTGGAAAAAGTGCTTTTACAGAAAATTTAAAAAAAAACGAAAAAAATTCCAGAAAATTTTAAATTTCGCAAAATAATTATTACCACTTCAAAAACTCACAAACAATCCTATCTGGGTTCCGAGATACAGTGGTATTCCGGGAAATAAGAAAGGGACTTGAGAAAGGGGAAAATTAAAACGGTATAGATCGTAATACTTCTCCTGCGCTTCCTATCTTCAGAAGTTGAGAAGCTGACCAGAGCAGTTAGCAACAGCAGGTGGTCTAATCTACAGACCTGCGCTGCATCGCGCTCACTCTGGCTACGGCTCGATGTACGAAGAACAAGGAGCTTTACTAAGGCTCTCACAGGATTACTTACGAGACACTGGGCCCCTGGCTACATGGCCGCCAGGTTCGGACCGCCGCTTAACGATTCCTGCATAAGCTGCAGAGACGAAGAAGAGATAGAATACGTCCAATACTTCCTTTGCTAGTGACCCGCAGTCTGGAGAAAACACCGCAAACTTCTAGCGACCACTTCGTCGAGAGTTAAGACAGCTTGGTGAGAACTAAATTGGAGGGCATGCTAGGACATGCAGGAATAGGCATGGGAAAACCTTATTCTAGGCATTGCAATGAGCCTATGGCGCCTCCTAGTGAACTCGTTTTTAGAGCTGCCCACAAAACCTAACCAAACATAACTTATGGTTACATCCAAAACAAAACGGCAGCAGTAAATAGTTTTAAAACAGAGTTAGTATGGCGGAATTTTACTGCAAATCATTAATTTCTGCATATTTTTTGCTGTCGATGACTTAATTTAGATACTGTCCAGGCCCCCTTATTTCGATCGGAAAACTCTGGTTCTCTTCAGGAGACTTCCAATAACAATACCCAATTGCTTTTTTTAAACATTTTTTAATACTAAAGATTTTTTATTTATCACCCAATTACATTTGCTGGGGTTTTGGCGGACCTATAAAACATAGTTACAATGACAAAATTATTAAATAAATAATTGGATACTACTATTGGGAGTCACATAGAGAGAAATGGAGTTTTTTTTATCGAAAAATATTTATATTCAAGAATTATATACAATTTCTACGAAAAGTTGTTTTTTTTTCCCATATAAAAATGGGAAAACTTTGAGCGCTTTGAGCGACTTGTAATAATTTTTTGCTTTCAAAATAAAAAAATAGGAGTATATTTTTTCAGAATAGAACAATTCTAGGGGGTGAGAGCATAAATATTCCGAGTTCACTTTTTCACATGCAGTTTTGGAGCGCCCTAGTGGTCACTGTGAGTAGTCAGGATGGTTTGCAAGCTTATAGGCTTAAAGGCTATAACAAGACTTTTGGCAGCTTGCCTGGCATTTGGCCATACTCCCACGCTTTGGAAAACTAAGTTTAGTTAATCTTCATTCTCAAACCGGCAAGGGTAGACTATGTGATAGCACAATGCTTCAGGTGCCAATCAGTCCGATATCATTCGTGCTGAAGAGTCTGAAGCGCATGATCGAATAGTACATTAGATCAAAGGTTTTGGTGGTCAGTCAGCTTACTTAGTACTCACCAACATGCATAACAGAGTAGAAAATCCTATAAGTCGGCTATGCACGAACAGTGGATTAGTTATACAATGAAAATCTTTTCTGTGAGTTGTTAACGTCCATGTTAAGGCACAGATGATCCTAAATAACATTAAATAATGGCGAACTCTGCAGGGTCTTGTTGTCGTCCCCAGCCTTGTTGACGCTGAAATAAAAAATTATAAGGTCTCAACCTGCTGGTGCTTAGGTAACTGTAAATAGCCATCTAATGTAAAAAAAACTCACGTCTAAGTAAAGCTAAATACAGCGCTGGAAGTTTTCGGAACTTTTAGTAAGGCTTGGTGACTGAGATCGGCTATTGCGCTTATGGAATATATAACTTTAGTGAGATTGATGTTAAAGATTCCAGGTGCGCACTAAAAAGGTCTGTAATGATCAGCACCTTGTGTTAAGGACTTGTAGCACTCAAGCATGCTAATTATCATATAATACAATACAATACAAATGCACGAAGGTTGCATGAGCAACATTCAAAATAATTCAAGATTGCAAATAATGATGTAAATAGCTATGGAATCGCCAACACTGTTGTTAACTAATAAGCAAATTTACATTGGCAATCATTATTTACACAGGTTTGAAAAAAAAAAAAAAACGCATAATTGCTAATTGTTGTAAATTTCACACTTTACTTTGCCATTTCCGAGAATAGCCATAGTTGAGGTAAACAATGTCATTAATAAATACATGCATATGATATACTTGTACATACATAAATGGCGCATATCTATATATACGTATACATATGCCTAAGAGCATTTTTTTCCTCAATGATTTGTTATGTTAAAGCGTTGCTGAACTATTTTGGGTATTCCCGCACCTATCACACAGAGATCAGCATTGTTAAAAGAATACATTTGAGTGGTTGAGAAAAACATAACTTATTACTATTGTTTAGTTATTAGTTTTTCTCCTTTTTATACATGTAGTATGTATAAACACATGGATATTTGTATAAGTGCGATGAAACAAATTTTTATTGCTAACTTAGTTTCAAAAATCAGTGTTTGAAGATTTCACAAACAAAATCGCAAGTGACTTGCGTGACTTTCTCGCCAGTTGCCATAAAACTGTGTATAAATAAGAATTATTTTTTTTAATTATTTTAATTTTTGCGCATACATATTAGCAGTTTTACTTGCTTCGAAGAAATTTTTACTTTTATTTTCACTAAGCGACTCAGTTGAGCAAAAAATAACCAATCAGGGTTTTTTCACAACATCAGCAAACGAGTTTTAGCTTTCTGAATCAGCCGGCTAGCTAATGAATATTAATTAATTAACGGCACATTTTTTGTGAGCGTGTATTTATTTCTTTATGACACGTGCTTCTATTCTCACAGCTCATGTTTTCAATTATAGAGTATTAATAATGCTAATTTAAAAACAATTTAATTTTAATTTTACCAGCATTACAAACTTGTCAGATTTTACTTAGCGTAAGAATTATGTCTGAGATTTTTGATAAAAAAAAAAAAACACTTTATATCAGGGACCACAAATAACGATTATCCTTTGAAATTTCAACTCAAAAAATCACGCGGAAAGAGAAATGCTATATAACTAAGTAACAGACCTCAAACTTTGGCTGATTGCTGAAACTTGATAAAGAAGTAAAGTAAATTAGACATAAACTAGGGTAAAGATGCCTGCTTATAGATGTTAGACGTACCCTTAGGCGAAAGTTTTCTGCTGGACAGCTTTAGAGACTTACTAATGGCGGTTTCTTTTCTATTGAAAAATGTTGCCTTCTCAATTCCCTCTGCGTACATGTACAAAGAGGGCAATGAAACTGCAACCTTTTTTGCAGTGTCAATGAAACAAAGAGGCCTAGGAGCCAAGATATCTGTGCTCCTCGTTAATAAGTTTCCTGTTTAGTTCAATAGTCAATAGTCATATCTCCGCCTCGCATTTCTAATTGGCGTCAGTTTTCGCAGAAGAGAAACGACTGGGGTGCTTTGTTGGACTCGGCCAGAATTGCTTACGCGGTTACAGTGTCAATCATGCAGAAGGAGAATCCCGTAACCGTATACTGTAAAATTATATCGAATATCACCGTATCCAACCGAGCCCTAACCGCAACGTAAACGGTTGCGAATTTTTTTTTCAAAATTTTATTTTGATGCAGAAATGCATCTAGATGCTCCAGGAATATTTCCGTATCAAAAATAAAATTAAAAAAAAAATATGTCGCTTACATCTGTTTGACGATTAGGTCTCGAAATAAACTCTTGCTTTACATAGTTTAACAAATTAACTAAGAACCAAATTGACATTTTGTGGAAAATCAAGTTTTTTATGGGCGTTATTGAACAAGAAACGATGATGAACTTTTGAAAAAAGACAAATTCTCATTTAGCGTACCTAAAGCATCACTACGATGTTCTGTTGTAGTGGCCGAGTATTCCAATGACGGCATCCTCTTTTCTGAATTTGTCGAGAGGGAGAAAAAGAAGATACATTTACCATTTTCTAGGTCGATCGTATGTGTCTCGTTTTAACACAAGTTTGGCAGAGACAACGAAAGCGGAACTAATCGACCTATCGTTTTCGAAATGAAAAACTGCAGGCACTACAATAAGACTAATGTGCCTCCTCTTCGTCCTTATAGAGCGCTTCGTTGGCGCTAACATGGTTTATAGCTTTTTTGTCGGCAAATAAATTTGTGCTCGCCTGCATAACTGCGTCAAAGTCTAGGTTCGCTATCAATAACTGGACTGCACTCTTATTATCTATCACACTTTTGGCATTGGAATCTCAAAAATCAGGTGCTTCAATCCATATATTCAGGCAACCAAAAAATTTAAATCATACATTTTAAATGATAGCGAACTTTTAATTAAACCTTCATATGCAAAACAAAGCTCTCTACAAAATTATTGCAACTGATAAATCTTATCTACATCTGAGAAGGAAAATCATATGAAAACATTAGTTTATTTAGCTACAACGAGGGGAAGAAACCATTTTTTTTTTTCTTATAATGAATTGCAACTAAGTGAAGCATATCCCATGCATTATTTTAAAACACTGCATTCATTTAACCTACGGAAAGGTTATAAATACGAGTGTATCAATCTATTTCGAAAAAACGCCAACAATAGAAATTGAAATGTACCATATACATATCTCCCACAAGAATCAGCATGCATGCAATATTTTGCAATTCTTATCTCTCTGTATTCCATTTTTTTTCAATTTCTTATACGTTCATTGCAGTCGTTATTCCATTGTTGGTCCCGGTACTTTGCACCCAGCCAACAAATACACCATTGGTGCAGTTGTTTATCAGAATGAAGAGCCAGTCACATTGAAGGTTGGCTTAGAGGGACCTAATTTCGAAAAATTCGAGACAATTGAACTCCAGCCGGATGAGTCAAGGTTAGTGGAATTCGATGTACCAGCATTAGAAGATGGCAAATATAATCTCACGGCTGAGGGGGTATCGGGATTAATTTTCAAAAACACAACAAGACTTAATTTCGAGAAATTTCATGCAATCACAAAAATTCAGACTGATAAGGGTAAATATAAGCCCGGTGACAAGGTAAATTTCCGTGTACTTTTCTTAGACGAGAATTTAAAACCAGCTAAAGCGGAGAAGGATGCAGTTATATGGTTTGAGGTGAGTCTGAGCAAATTGCGTGTGAAAAGAATTATAAACAAACAATTTCAATTTCCTTAAAAACCAAATTGGAGAATGAGTTCTATGTATGCAGAGCAAAATTTTTTTGTTGGGCGAATGCACTAGAGAACTGAATTATCTATTGCTTGATTTATTACCCCTACAGGATGGTAAACGTAATATCGTAAAAGAGTACAAAAATATCGAACTTAAAAATGGCGTATTTACGGGTGAATTTCAAATATCCGAGTTTGCAGTGCGTGGCTTTTGGCGTTTAATTGTCAAAAATGGTCGGCCTTACAACGAAGAGGTCTATTTCGAAGTTGACAAATATGTTCTACCGAAATACGAGATAAAACTCGATGCTACGGATGCTGTGTCCGTGCGTGATGGCGATGTTAATATCGTAGTGAGAGCAAAGTATGTACTCTCCCTACAAAGTCCTTTAATTTACTCTTTTACTTAAGACATCCTTTATTTTAGTTATACTTTTGGCAAGCCTGTGGAAGGTAAAGTTACCGCAGTACTCGGCTACAGCGAGTACTATTCGCAAACTGGTGATGAGAAGATAAAGAGCGCACCTACCCTCATTAAGAGTGCCGACATGGTCAATGGCAAGGCAAAACTGGTGATCAACGTAAAAGACTTCAAAGATCACTTGACAAGCGACCTGTACGCCACATCGTTGGTCATCACTTCAACGCTGGAAGAAGCCAACACTGGCGTGAAACTTAATGCAACCAAACATATAAGCGTATTTCCGTACCGTTATAGTATATCTTGTGTAAGCTATGACAGCTGTTACACATATCATGCAGATAAGGAGTCGGAAGTGTTGATTCAAGTGAATTTGGTCGACGGTACAGTCGTGACAGATACGAATCCAATTGAAATTACATTCCTGGAAAAATTATCAGAGAGAATGTTTTGGCGAAGGAAAGAAAATCAAGAAGAGACGACAACGCCAAAGCCTACAATTGAGGGGAAATCGTATACCTTCAATAGCCAATTGAATGGTACTGGTTTTGCTAAATTCACGGTTAAGTTGGCTCACCTGGATGAAATTGAAGACTATCAACATTATTATGAAGCAACTGTTAAGTATCTAGATGAGACACGTTCTGTTTCTAACACCTTCCAATACCGCGAGCCAAAGAATGTAGTACCACAGCCTGAAGAAAAGGAGCCAATGGAATGGTTTAAGCTGTCGGTCAATTATGCACCGAATACATACTTGTGAGTTTAAAGAAAGAATGGCGAGATGCTTAGTGCTTAAATTCTCGTTTTTTTTGCTAAGAATAAAAAACTTAGTGACATCATAGAGTCCCTATGTATTTCTACGATTATGCGCTTGTTGTTTCACGAAACCTTTCCCTGAAATTAAGTTAAAATATACGAGTTGAATACCTGAAATTAATTTTATTCAGGCATTTTTAGTTATTTTTCATGGAATGAGTTCCTGAAATGACAAACGTATAAAGATAGTATCTGTACCATTCATTGTAACTAATTTGTATTCCACTTCTGATTTTTGCGAATGCAGGTTTAATTCTTCGCAGATCATAACAATCACTGTAAACTCGAGCGAACCGCTGTCATACTTCATTTACGATGTAGTCGGTCGTGGTAATATTTTAGAGCATCAGCGTGTCGTTTTGCCTGAAAATACTAAAATTTACAACATCACACTTCCATACAAGTTCGCTTACGCACCCTATGCACGCATTTACGCTTATTACGTTGATAATGACGGTGAATTCCATTATGCTGAGTCATCGTTCTCTGCAGAGACAGAATTACAAAACAAGGTTAGAATTATTTATTTGCTTACCCTTGAGTTTTTATTTTAAAAACTTTGCACTATAATCATATCCTCTCCGCAACAGATTGAAGTAACCGCACCCAGTGAAGTTAAACCAGGCGATATCGTGCCTCTACATATTCGTACTGCTCCACACTCATTTGTCGGTCTCGTAGCTATTGATCAGAGTGTACTGTTGCTTGCAGGTAATAACGCTATCACCTCCAATGATTTCCGTTGGCGTATCGGTAGCTATGATACAAGCACTCCATGGCTGGGGGGTAGCTCATATTATCCTGGCACAGGCACCGGTGTGGTTACGTTGACCAACGCCGACTACTTCTACAATTGGACTCAGCCGGAATATCGTAAGCGCAATAATGTAATAAAAACAAATAAATTTCTGAAGCTGTCTACTGTTGCAGAAAATGCTATGCCCATAAGTGCAGAAAGAGACAGAGTTTTTCACTCAGTTGGTGCTGGTGGTGGTAGTTTTAAGGCAGGTGTAGGTGTACATTCCACTACACCATCTCCTCCACCCCCGCAACAAACAATTAACGTTCGACAAGATTTCAGAGAGACTTGGCTATTTACTGATATAGAGGAGTAATTTTTTCGCCCAATATCTAAAAAGCGCATACTCAATTTAGATTTCTTTACACTTAGCACACAAACAGAAGAATTTGATTGGTCTGAGAAGATACCAGATACTATTACATCGTGGGTGCTCACAGCTTTTGCAGTAAATCCTGATAAGGGACTCGGTGTAATGAAAGACTCCATAAAGATTAAAACATTCCAGCCATTTTTCATGTCGCCACGCCTTCCTTACTCTGTAAAGCGAGGTGTGTAAGAATTTTCATATTACTTAATTCCGGTTTCCTTATAAAGACTTTACTTTACGATGCATTTCAGGCGAGGTCATCAACACTCAATTATTAGTATTTAACTACTTGGACAAGGCTTTAGACGTCGCTGTCACGCTCGACAACACTGACGGCGAATACGACTTTACCGACGTCTCCAACGAGATTATTAGCGAACCAAAGCGCGTAAAAAACATAAGAGTGCCCGCACAATCTTCCGCCGGCGTTTCCTTCATGATTCGTCCCAAAGTTATTGGCGACGTGCTACTAAAGTATACTGCCATATCACCGATTGCTGGCGATGCGCTACATAAGGCGCTAAAAGTTGTGCCTGAGGGTGTGACACAGTATGCAAATCGCGCATATTTTGTGAACTTGAAAGATGCCCCAGAATTTAAGCAAACCTTCGAGCTGGTGCTACCGCAAGATGTCGTGCCTGACTCAGAGCACATAGAGGTGTCTGCTGTTGGCGATATTTTGGGTCCACTCTTGAATAATTTGGATCGCTTGGTGCGTCTGCCGACTGGCTGTGCAGAGCAAACGGCTTCCTCATTTGTGCCGAACTATGTGGTTTTGGAATATTTGAATGTAAGCTTAAACTGAGCTTGTATTTTATAATTTTTTTTTTAATTGAACTTTCTTCCGCAGCACACGAACAAACTAACGCCAGCTTTACAGTCAAAAATTCAAAGCAACCTGCTATCCGGCTATCAAAACATTCTGAACTTCCGCTTAGACGATGGTTCTTTCAGTTCTTTTGGCAGGTCGAGAAACTCAGATCGGCCAGTTAATGGTTCCACCTGGCTGACCGCATACATCGTGCGTTCACTTAATCAGGCTAAATCCCAAGTGAAGGTCGATGAAAATGTACTGAAGGACGGTCTGAAATACTTGGTCAGCCAACAAGCAGAAAATGGCAGCTTCTTGGAAAGCAATGATTTCTTCTTTAGGTCCTATAGAGAGCCATTGACACTTACAGCCAGTGTTTTGCTCACTTTAGTAGAGGCGGAGGTAAGTAAGTCTCTTTCGTTATCAACCCAGTTAGTAAAATGTTTAGCGTTTTTAAATAGGAGCTCTCCAAGCCTTATGAAGCGGAAATCGAAAAGGGTTTCAAATACATTTTAGAGAATTTGGGTGCAGAAGAGAATCTGCATGTTAAGGCGATAACAGTTTATGCGCTAAATAAAATCGATAGTCCAACAGCCGCCGCCCAACTCGAAGGGCTTAGTGCACTTGCTAAGACAGCTGATGATCGCAAATGGTGGTCAAATCAAAACGAAAGCAATTCGAAACTTTGGTGGCGCTGGAGTTCTAGTAGCGATGTAGAGATCACTTCCTATGTTTTACTAACGTTGTTCGAGAGTGGCAAGGCAACTGTGGACGATGTGCTGCCGGTTATACGCTGGTTGGTGGCGCAACGCAATAGCTATGGTGGCTTTGCATCCACACAAGACACAGTACTTGGACTCAAAGCGCTAATGAAATTTGCTGACCTTGCTGAATATGAAGCAGCTAGCATGGAATTAGATGTGACTGGAAAAGGCGAAAGAGAGAAGAGAGAAACCATTCATTTAACTGAGGACAATGGCTTGTTAACACAAACCATTGAGGTAAGGAAGGCTCTTAAATCATACAAAAGTTATGTAAGCTCACACATTTGCTACACAGTTGCCACAAAAAACTCTCTCGGTGGACCTGAGCGCCAAGGGTAAGGGCGCTGCTTTGGTACAAATTGCATACCAATACAATGTGTACGAGAAGGAAAAGCAGCCAGCCTTCAAAATCGACGCTGTTGTAAACAAAGAGGCACCTGCTTTCAAATTGGACGTGGATGTTTGCATACAATACACCGGCGAATCAGAGGCTACCAATATGGCGCTGCTCGAGATCTCCTTACCTTCTGGTTATGTGGCTGATGAGGAGAGCTTCAAACAAATTGAAGCGGTGCAGCGTGTTAGGGTAGGTTTTCCAAGGCTAATAATAATTATGCTGACGTTAATTGCTTTTGACATTCCTTACAGCAAGTAGAAGGCAAACAGTCAAACACACTGATCGTCGTGTATTTTGAAAGCCTGAGTAAGGATAACATTGTATGTGTGTCGATCGAGGCGTTCAAGGTGTATCCGGTAGCGGATCAAAAACCCGCTTCGCTTGTGCTATATGATTACTACGACACGACGCAAAAAGTCACTGAGTACTATTCAGTTTCTTCGAATAAGTGCGATATCTGTGCTGATGATGAAGAGTGTAAGGCGTGTGCGGCTGCAGTGTAAATACATATTTTATTTGTAAAGTTGTGTGGATGAAATTTCCTAAAAAACTGTTTTGTAAATAATTTCAAAAATCCGATTATGGAGTACAATGGCAATGATAACGATTTTAGAAAAAGTTGAACAGATTTGTAAATTAAATAAAGTAGATTATAAACACAAGGAGTAGCTGACCACTTTACTCAATATCATAACAGAAATGAAGTGTCTCTAGTTTTAAAGTACTTTTCATTTGATTTAAGGTGATTATGGAAAGTTGGGGGAAAGGCATAGACAAAACGTAATGGTATTGGCATCGATAATGCCTTTCTAGATGAATTCATAACGCTTTAGCAATATGCCACAATCAGTTTGATTACGATGAGGCTCAGCCTGCAGGCAGTATCGTCCCAAACAGCCAGGCACCGTTGAACAGCGCAGCTAGAAAGCCGCTAGCTCACCCCATCTCGGGCAAGCGGAAGGACGATTATCGATTCCGATTTCCACTTCCGGTCAAGCGGAAGGACGTGGCTTCATCCGCTTCTAAAAGCATTTTGAGCTTCCCAAGAATTTTAGAAGATCCCTGATTTTTACGCATATAAAATCCTCCAAGTTATCGATAAATTTTCTACCTAGAGTCGAGAGTCCTCGCCTGAATAGAGTAGGGCGCTGATCCAAAATGTATGGATTCATTTAATCGTGTGGCTAGGCGATGGGCATTCTTACTTATTACGCAGTGTCCTGTAATGACAGATACAAACAAACAGACTTTATGCTTATCTAAGCTCTGTAGTAAGCCCGCGCTTAGCTCCGGACACAATTTCCTGGCAGTTTTGCCGGTGAACCCGTCATGTCATCTGTCGTTCCCTAATTAAGTAAGCCACTCGGAGATAAGTAGCAAGTTTGTAAAAATATTCCTTTTTCATCATTTATATCCTCAGTAGGAAGTTTTGCGCCAAGTCGCGCCTTATAATTCCCCTAAACGTCGCAGTGTCCTGGAACGCAAATCACTTTTATGTGAAATTTCTCATCCATTTCGTTGAGAGACATGCGGTATCTCACGGCTACCATTGAGATTGAGATTGGAGTGTCAACTTGATGCGCACCGGCGATTGCCATCATTTCCGCCTTAACAACTCTAAAGTGGTCCAGACGGCAAAAGCTAAGACAGATTCAAAGGTGTTCGGAGTATTCACCTCCACCAACACTACCCTCGATATCAGAGTTGATATTGAGCTCTCGAAATGAACGGACGTTCAGCTCAATCAGGGATTACCAACTATGTTGATTAAGATATTCAGAAAGACTGTTGTTGGCTTTTTGCAATAGTTTTGCTTCAATGGCATTACGCCTATTGTGTTCCGGTCTCTTCTTAGCCAAAAAGCTCGCATCAAATGTGTACGTTATCTCATTAAAGCTGAAACAAACCATTCTGAATACCCCTTGCAACTATTTCGGGACCATCCCATTTCTGTCCTGCGCCTGTGACAGCCTAATTACATCCGAGAACATCCATAGAGGCATCAGACTCAGGCCAAAAGAGCTTTACTAAGGATTACTGCTAACAATGTCGCGGAAAAAGGGTTTCCTAGTCATAGGAAGTCGGATATCCTCACGAAGTAGTGCCCTGAAAATGCATTACTGGGGCATACCATGCATCCGAGGTTAAGCTTTACAAAGAAGTTCAAAAGTGATCTCAGTAATAAGAAAAGCTGGGCAGGCATATCCCAGACATAAACCAAAACATGATTACCTGTGGTACACTGATGGCTCATTGACGGAAGAGGATACCGGGGAAGGTGTAGTTTTACCGGGCTAAGGTTTTACTAAGCTAAGGATGGCAAAATATGTGTCCATCTTCCAGGCTGAAACATACCCCATAGACAGATGTGCGGACTTTAATATCAAGCGAAACTACCGGAATCAGAACATCTCGATCGCGACTGACACCCGAGCGGCTACCAAGGCCCTCAGGTCTCCTCGGGTAACATCTAAACTGGTGATGGAGTACCTTGATAAGCTGAATAATCAGGGCTTGACCAATCGAGTTCGGGTTTTCTGGATTCCGGGACATACCAGTATTAAAGGATAACCTTTCGAAGAAAGTGCCCTGGTCCAGGCATACTATAAATCCGTGGAGGGGGCACAATAGAGTTTGAGGACGCAGTGATTTATCCCTAACAATAACAATAATACGCAGTTCAAGTTATTTGTATTATTTTCCTTGGTACTGCTATTAAGCTGACAGATCTGAAGTATAGGGCAAATCTGAGGCATAGAGCACAAAACAGGACTTACGAGTCAGAGCTGGGAATAGCCGAGCAACTGACGACACATAACTGGAACATTTTACTCTAACCGATGATCTTAATACCGCTCGATCACACAAGGAATGAAAAGCGTTAATGCGAAAACGACTCGAACTTTGAATGGAGACTAGAAGTGTAGCATGATTCTGAGCTTATTCTTACATCCACACTCAGCTAATTACTTAAACATTGATAACAAACATCTCGTAAGCACTTTGTTTATTTCGTAAATCACTCAATGCAGAAATTTCTTATCTTTTCATGAGTAAGCTAGTTAGAAAGAAAGAGCGCCAAAGGTGTGATAGAGAGCGTTCGAGCGAAACTTTATTACTTAATCGTTATCAGTGTTATCGAAACTCAATAGAAATTAATCAGTGAGTAATTTAATTCTTACTTACTCAACGACTTTTACTAAAGCGGCTTCGCGACTTGAGTCAAACTCAAAATTTATTTATAGCAAAGGTGTACGTTTTCTTCGGGTTGTTCCCCTTCTTTTAATAGTACATACATACATTGGTACTAAGCAGATGACACTGAATTCACTGGTGATTTTGCAATAGAGTTTAGTCGCAGCTGAGCAGTTGATTTGGTGCGTGTTGCAGTTGCGCGTTCAGCAAAGTTTAATTTAAATTTCCTTGAAGTTCTTGAAGGAACAAAAGAGTGTTCGCTATGTGACCGGTTTTGCGTTGATTTTTTGCTTTGTTTTGCATTGTTGGAATATCTGTCGCAATGCGGCATCGTTTGACGCTGCTATTATTAGCCATCTTGCAAACTGTCTTGACGGCAAATGCCAATGGGTAAGTGTTATTAGTCTTTGCATTTGGTTTTAGTTGGACGTTTTAAATACATTTTACGAAAAATTACACTGAAGAAGGCACATTTTAAATCCTTCTTCACATATTGAGGTACGGCTTTGAATGAATTTATGTACGTATTGCACAGAGTACAAAACGCTGGATAAATTATTAGTTAAATAAAAAAAACATTTTCTATAAAAAATTTAAAATACTTATGACTAAAAATGCCAACTTTTTTGCTAATGCTATGCTAATTTCGTATATATACAGTCAAACATAGATTTATATACATTTCAGTGTATTAAATGCATTTTTTTTCTTGGAGCAAAATGAATTCATCTCTTGATCATATTCTTTGTCTTAAATTGCTTTTAAATACCAAAAAAATATGGCACAATCATACCATTATCAGCCATTATCTATCGTGTAACTGCATGAATTTATAGATATATACATATGTACGTACGTTGTGTTATTTCTTCAATTCTATCTATCAATGCGTTGACCTGACTGTTGGCTTTTAATTTGCGTTTTTTTTTTTACTATACACTCTTTCTCTTCCCAAACCATCGCTCTCCTGCTACTCTCTCATGTTACACTCTTTTCTGCCACAGCTTCTATACAGTTATCGCTCCCGGCACAATACATACAAATAGAAAATACAATGTCGCTGTTGCACTCCATCAAGCCGCTGAACCAGCTACGATAAAGATTAGTCTCACAGGTCCACAGTATAATGATACAAAAAACGTAAAGGTTCAACCACACGAAGTGCAGCAGCTTGTCTTCGATGTACCCATTCTACGCGATGGCGACTTTAACATCACCGCAGAGGGTGTTGCTGGCATAATCTTCAAGAATTCGACTAAACTGAATCATAACGCCTTTCAGACGCACGTAAAAATACAAACCGACAAAGGAAAGTATAAACCTGGCGATTTGATTAACTTTCGCGTGCTTTTCTTAGATGAAAATCTAAAGCCCAGCACTCCGTCGGCGAGCAGTGTTATGTGGTTTGAGGTATGAAGAAATTTTATTGAAAAAGTTATTCCTCATTTAAGTTAAATTCCTCTATTTTTTCGCTTGCCAGGATGGCAAACGCAATCGCATTAAGGAATACAAGAACTTCACTGTTACGAAAGGCGTTTACTCCGGTAAATTTCAAATTTCCGAATATCCCATAATGGGTAGATGGCGTCTGGCCGTGGAAAATGGTGGCTGGCGTAAATCAATCGTTAGCTTCGATGTAGAAAAATATGTGCTACCCAAATATAAGGTCAACGTTGATGCGACCTCACAGGTCTCGGTGAAGGACGGTGATATGCAAGTGGTGGTGCGAGCCAAGTAAGTACTTACATAAATATGTAACTATTTTCGGAACACTCGGAAGAGAGGAACCACTTTCATAACTTAGGTAAAAAAGAGTCGTTCGTAAGACAATTGCCAATTTTGGCAACTAATTATCTCGAGACCTCTTTACTACCTTTCGAAAGTCTCATTGAAAGATCTGCTAACGAGGAGGTCTTAGCGTTATGCGTTTCCACTTTAAGCGGTAAATTTAAAAAAAAATAAATCAAATAAAAAAAATATATATTTTTTTTTAAACTATAAAAACTAATAAATAACAAATTAGCTAAAATAAAATTAAGATATAGGAAAAATAAATAAAAAGGTTTTAAAAATATAATGAAATTTAAGAAAAGAAAAATATTTTTTCTTTAAAAAAAACAGAAAATATAAATCAAAAAAGAAGACAATAGTGCTTAAAAATTAAAAAAAAATATTAGTTTTTAAAATTAAAAGAAAATTAAATTAAAAAACAACAAATCATTTTAAGTAAAGAACTATGATAATATCCTAAAAGCCAAATGAAATAAAAAAATACATTTTTCTTTTTAAAACAATAAATCTGAAAATAAAAAGGAAACGAAATTATCAAAACAAAAACAAAATAAATTAGAAAAAGGAAAAAATAAATAGAATAAAAAATAAAATATTTTTCTTTTTTAAACAATAAAATCGAAAAGATGAAAGAATATTAAACTGAAAAGAGAAGAAAAATATATAGTTTACAAAAATTATTTTTATGAGTAACCTCTAAAAACTCAAAGTAAATTAAATTAGAAAATAAAAATACATTAATTAAAATAGGGAACAAATAAAATTAAAAAAGGAAAAACTACATACAACCAAGTTTCTAAAAATTAATGAAATTAAAAAAATATACATAAATTTTTCAGCTAAAACTAAGTAATCTAAAAATCAAATTAAAAATTAAAAACATTTTAATTCAAATAGAGAAAAAAATTCCGCTGCCCGAGGACTAGAACTAGGGTTTCTCGAATAATACGCCTGCGCTTTGCTAACTCAGCCACTGTTGGAGCGGTGCGCCCTAAATGATGTACAAAAGTTTTCTCTCAAAATAACTCTCCACCACAAGTGGTGAATAAGAGAACTTTATTCTAAGACTTTTGTGCTAGAAAAACAAAAGTCTTTCGAATTATCTTGCCATCTGTCTTTCATTTGTCCTACGAAAGACTTTTTACTATCTAATCCAGAATAGCCATGTAAATTAAGTTATTTTAGGTTAGGTAGAACTGGCTGACTAGTAAAAGCCTCACACAGACAGATATTTATCGTCCACAGTGTGGAAATATATCAAGAATCCATGACACCTTCTAAGCAAATTATAGGATTTAGTAGAGTCCGTATTTTGTTACTTTCTCTAGGTTAGTTAGGAACTCCTCCCTAAAGTAATTCAGATGTAAATTTGCCCTTCCTACAGTTATTACTACTCACCAAACCCATTTTAAGGGCGTAGTTAGCTAAGACCTTGTGAAGTCTTCCCTTGGCAGTTTAAGTGTAAGTTTTATTAATTTCACATCATGTGACCTAAGCATGGCGCGGGGTATTTTGCATCCACATTTTATCTGCCCCTTGAAATAGGCCTGAGTCACACTTCGTTGTTAAAGCGTGTAATAAGATAGGAATATCTAGCATGACTCCATAGCTTAGTAGCACTCCTGAACCTTTCCTCCGAGGCGAAATACTTAGGTATTATCCTTGACTCCAAACTTATGCGGGGGCGCAATGTAGAGGAAAAAGCAAAGAAGGGCCTATGCATCAGCGTACCATACCTGTAAAAGGGCTTTCGGGAAAATCTGGGGGCTGTGACCGTATATCACCACAGTCATTCGACCGATCTTAACCCATGGAGCGCTGGTCTGGTGGAAAACGTTAGATAAAAGCAGCAATCAGAGAATAGTGAAGAGGGGGTTAAAGGATACACCACAACTGCAATTAATGACCTATGGAACAATCGGGACGACTGTGAGATCTCCAGATCCTTATGGCCGATACTCAATAAGAGTCGTACTGAGGAACTATTTACACTAAACAAATATGGAGTAAGCGCTCTTACCGGCGTCATCACAGGGCAGTGTGCTATCGGACCAATGCTTTAACGGTGGCGTGTACCAATAAGCTCGCTCTGCAGAAGTTTTCGGGATGAGGATGAAGCTATCCAGAAAAGGCATCTGAAGCATATGATATCACGTTTTTTCAATGGCTTGGGGGAGATATCGGAGGCTTACTCCGGGATAGTAAACGGTTTGACAGACTCTATACTGACAGTATGGATTAATCTTGGTTCCATTCTCCTGGCATTCATAAATGGCATTCACAATAAGCAAATATATCTCCGAGTGGAAGTACGAGACATTCGTACGCGACTTTCTACCCTCACCTAACCATTTAAAGTCCGCAACATCTGGGAAAAGTTTAGATTAAGATGGCTTTTTTCAAGGTTTGACTCCACGGTTTAGATAACCATTGTGGTGCGCAGAGCTAAATTTACATGTTCTAAAACCATACCGAACTTTTGATAAATCTAGCCAGGCCATCGATGGAAATTATTTTAAATCTGAGAGTGCTTCTAGAATGTTTAGATCAGATTGCTTTTTTCAAGGTTTGGCTCCACGGTTGAGAGGCCCATTGGGGCGCCCAGGCATATATTTTGAATAAATCCATTCAGGCCATCGATGCAAACTATTCCAAGACTGTGTTCGAGGCATTCGCTCCCCTTCCTCCTTTTACCGATTTTGTAGAAATCCGATGCCGTATGTTCGGCTTTTAGTCCTACTTTCAAATATCGCTTAGAATAGTGTCAGTCTTCTCGACCATTCCATCGCGGCGAGGAAATTCGAGAGCCGGATTAAATAATTTTTTTATCCGTGCTTCCATAAACTTTTTTCGGGAAAACTTGGAGTCGACAATAACTCCTAAAAATGTCAGCTTGTACGTTTTGAAATTTCATTTAAATTAACCGCATGTATACATAATGTAATGAGAAGTCCAAGTTAATCAAAACAAATTGGTTTCGAAATATCCTTTTTAATAAACCATCAAACCAAATTAATGGCTCTTAAAAAGTCAAATGCATAATCGGTTAACTGCTGCAACTTTGATAAAATTTGGTTGAAAAATTCCCCATAAAATAATCATAAAATGAAAGCAACGAATTGATTTAAATTGTTGATTATTTTTAGAAATCAAGAAGCACTTAAAAACCTTAACAGACACTACAAGTATTTCTTAATCTATCTTTCGACGTGTCCTCCATCGCAATATCTCACTTTCAGCTACACCTATGGCAAGCCCGTAAACGCCAAAGTGACCCTAATCATTGGCATGGATACTTTTTATTACTTCAACAACAATGATAAATCCAGAGTCGCGCCTACACAAATAATAAAAACAGCCGACATGGTGAATGGTAAGGCCAAATTCGATCTCAGCGTTAAACAGTACAAGGATAACTTCCTCGACTTCAGAACTGCGCCACTTGACATTACCGCTACGGTTGAAGAAAATTTCACCGGCGTAAAAATCAATGGCACTACACGCGCTACACTTCATCAGGACCGTTACTTTATTAGTTGCACAAATTATGTGGTCTGCAACAATTTTAAAGCAGGCGAAGAATTCGAAATGTCATTCCGCATACTACTCATTGATGGTACAACGATACAAGATACAAACACACCCGTACGCATACGCTTCATCGAAGCACTTGATAAGCATTATTACAAAGAGGATGCGCTACCCGAACCGAAAATAGATCAAAGAGTACTCGAATACGTGAGTAAATTGAACGTTAATAGCACAGCGATATTTAAGGTGCAGCTGCCAGATTTGGAAGACTTCAAAGGCTACGCACATTACTTCAAAGTGCAAGCGCTCTTCAAAGATGAGGTACACAATGTGACGAGCTCCTATCAGAAGCGCCCGCCGAAAGTTACCGAACAGAAAGAGATAAAAGAACCTGAAAAACCCAAGACGTACTTTAGCGCGCATTTGGAATACCCGAAGGGACGTTACGCGTGAGTAGCTTGTATTGTCTGGAGGAGTCATAGGCTTCAATATATTTTTCTCTTTTGCTTTCAGTTTCAATGCAGACGAACAAATTATTGTCACAATTAACTCTAGCACACCGCTGAGCTACTTCGATTACAACATTATCGGCCGTGGCAATATTTTGGTTAGTGAACGTGTTTTCGTGCCCAATAAGGCACGAAGCTACGATCTTACCTTGACGCCTTCATTCATGTGGATGCCCTACGCGCGCCTTTACGCCTATTACATTGATGAAGTTGGTGAATTTCGGTATGCCGAAACTATTTGCCAAATCAAAGTTGAAATGCCGAATAAGGTTTGCCCAACACCGCCTGCAGCACTTCGCTCTCTTTATTTATCCCTTTGCCTTTTTTAGTTGGAAATATCGGCGCCAGCGCAAGTAAAACCCGGTGAAGAGGTCGCTTTGCGTATCAAAACCACTCCACATTCCTTTGTCGGTCTGCTCGCTGTCGATCAGAGCGTGCTACTCTTAGGTCGCAACAATGATATCTCCCAGAATGATTTTAGTTGGCGCTTAAGTTCTTATGCTACCTATACACCCTGGCAGGGCGGCTACTCTCGCTATCCCGGTGGTCATAGTGGTGTTGTAACATTGACAAATGCCAACTACTTCTACAACTACACAGCACCGCATACATCTCTAGGTGACTGTAATGTTAAAACACATAAAAATCTTTAAACGCTCTTGTTTTTTTTTTTATATTATCTTTCCCTTCAAACTCCACAGTTGACAACCGTTTTGAAGATCTGCAAGCTCTTCGTGTGCCAGAGGGCGCTGTATCCCTCGCAGCCAAGCCCGCTTCGGCATCAGCTGTAGAGAGTCCTACTGCTAATAAGGAGATTGCGGTGCGTACAGACTTTTCGGAGACATGGATATTTGTCGACATTGAAGAGTAAGCTTCCGTTTGTATCTGAATTTGAAAAGCGATTTCAAAAGTTTCTTTTTCAGCACCCAAACGCAAGAGTTTACATGGACGAAGAAGATTCCTGATACCATTACTTCGTGGGTGGTGTCCGGCTTTGCGCTGCATCCAGAGCAAGGACTTGGTGTTACAACCCATACAACTGATATTGTGACATTTCAGCCGTTCTTCATATCAGTCAGATTGCCCTACTCAGTGAAGAGAGGTAAGTAGGATCTTAAGGCTAAAGTTATTCATAGAAACCGTAGACGAATTTAAAAAATTATTGAGTTGTACCTTGTGGTATCTTTATTTTTTAATGGTTATTCTAAGTATCACCGAATATTGATGTCTATCCTACTCTCCAGTACTCTAGGAAGCGCGATCAATCATGTTAAGACAACTGTCTTGCCAGATAGAAAATTTTTTCTGCTTCGCTGAGATGCTTTTGAATGACAGGATGCATAGAACATGTCGAGACGACACAATAAAAACATTACTGCCAACAAAATGGCTCAATTTGATTGTTCAAAAATCAGCTGGTTTGAATTCGTTACAAACATTATTCTTAGGCCGCACCGGCGCACGCCAAAATTACCGAGCTCGTCGTTTTCTTCCGATTGCGTGCATGTAAGTGCCGCGTAACACAGAGCTTACTATAATGTCAGTGAAAATCATCCCTGCGAGGCAGAAAATATTTCCTTTCTGGCGGGGCCTTGATGTGAAAACATCAGACAGTGTCGCTTTTGAGAGCCTAAGAGCTCCCTTGGTTGTATATGGACAAAAAAGACATTGCAATTCCATTTGCCTAGATTTATCCCCGCGCTTATTGGGCAGACTTGGAACCCATCTGCTCAAGAGTAGTCAACGCATAGTTAAGCATACTCTCAGCATACACCTATTTCAGTAGGATCACCTGAGAGGGATTCATTCTAAACAGCTTTTCAATTGCTATGCAGAGCTCGTCTAAGCTAAGGTACGGACTTCACATTTTCTCTCATATCTCTTCAAGAGTAGCCCACTCATAGAAAATCGTACTCTGACGCTATCGTTGTATCAGCATCTACGATGGCCTAGCCAAGAAAGTTAGAAGGTGTGCCATGATCAACTAGACATTAATGGAGCAATATTTGCCAGAACTCTCCTTTCTAAGAAATGTTTCTTCTGCCAGAAAAGAGATATTGAAATGCATATATATATCAGCTTTTAGGTGCAACGAAATAATATATCCAGTCTGCCAGCTTGTTAGCTAATCCAAACTATCACCCCACAGGTGAGGTCATCAATGTACCAGCTCTGGTCTTCAATTATCTCAACAAAGATCTGGATGTTGAAACCACACTCGACAATACGGATGGCGAATACGAATTCACCGAAATCTCCAATGAGATTATTAGCGAAACCAAGCGCTCGAAAGTCGTGCGTGTGCCAGCACAGTCCACAGCAGGCATCACCTTTATGCTGCGGCCCAAAATAATTGGTAATCTAATGTTAAAGTATACAGCCATCTCGCCGCTTGCAGGAGATGCAGTACACAAGGTACTTAAAGTAGTGCCCGAGGGTGTGACGGAATATGTTAATCGCGCCTTCTTGGTGAATCTAAGGGATGCGCCGGAATTTCGACAGAGTTTCGACTTGCTACTGCCAGCAGATATTGTGACCGACTCACAGCATATCGAAATTGGTGTTATCGGTGATTTATTGGGTCCGCTACTAAACAATCTCGATCGGTTGCTGCGCATGCCCAGCGGCTGTGCGGAACAAACAATGTCGACGTTGATGCCCAACTATTTGGTGCTGAAATATTTGAAGGTGTGTTTTATGGAAGACAACAATCAAACAAAGCAATCAAAAGATCAACTCTTATTACGTATTTGTTATCTTTCAGCACATCAACAAATTAACGTCAGCTTTGGAAGCAAATATTCTGCAGCATCTGGAAACGGGCTATCAACGCATGCTTGGCTTCCGCTTGAACGATGGCTCCTATACTACATTCCATGATAAGGAAAAGCGCGAAAATGGTTCGGTCTGGCTTACCGCTTACGTGGCGCGTTCGCTGCATCAGCTGCAGCAGTTTATAAAGGTTGACGATGCGCTGCTCGACAAGAGCTTGCAATATTTGGCTAATCGGCAAGTGGATAATGGCAGCTTTGTAGATGTAAACAATACAATTTTCGGCGCAGAGCGCCAGCAGGGTATACCATTAACGGCACATGTTTTGCTAGCCTTCCTGGAGAACAAGGTAAGAACTTCTCGAGAAGCTATGAACGACATATCCTGACTAATTCCACAAAAAAAACGCTCTCACAGCAACTCACTGCGAAGTATCAAAACAACATTGACAATGCTTTCAAATTTATACTGGAGCACATCGAGAAGTCGGACAGCATTTATGCCAAAGCTTTAACTGTTTATGCTCTACAGAGTGCCAAACATCCTGCAAGCGCTAAATATCGTAGCTTGCTTAAGTCATCGGCGAAATCGGCTGATGATCGCATGTGGTGGTCGGCTGTAGAAAATCGGCCACGCCAGTGGTGGCGTTGGACACCGAATGGTGATGTGGAGATCACTTCGCTTGTGTTGCTAGCACTGTTGGACCAGGGTGCTGACAATGTGGATGATTTGCTGCCAATTGTGAAGTGGTTAGTGGCACAACGCAACAGCTATGGTGGCTTTATTTCTACACAAGACACCGTGCTCGGGCTGCATGCGCTGATTGAGTTTGCGGAGAGGTCGAAGTATGAACCTGGTCTTATGGATATTGAAGTATTGGCAAAGGGTGGTGCAGATCGATCGGAGAATATAAAGGTTACAGAGGATAATGGATTGCTGTTGCAAAGCGTGGAGGTAAGTACACAAAAGGATGTGTTTACCGGCGAGTATTTGAATTGCACTTATGCAAAAGACATATGAGCAAATCTTACGAGTTGTTACTTTTTTCGATAAAACCATGTTTTTGGTGACACACTTATCTTAGACAATATATTTTCTTTAGTTTTGCATAAAGAACAAGATTCAATCGCAAAACTGTTTTTAAATGAAAACTTAAAAGATATACATATAACAAAATCTAACTAACATCTCGCGCTCATATACCCGTAGTTGTGTAGGGCTCGATATATTAATTTCTTCATTTATATAACAATTTCAAAATGAGTTTCGATTGTGCCAAGAAATATTGTAAAACTGGAATCTTGGTTTCGCAAATCGTCGTCATCTTATATTGGCAATGTAATCTTTTTTCCCTTGGTGGCACTCCAGTTTTATTACCCTAGATAAGTTCGCTTTGGAAAGAAGAACATTTTCACCGTTTGATGTTGTCATTTTGAAGTATCTTAAATTTTTTAAATGATGTTTTGCATGGCGCGATTTTTTTTTTTAATTCGGTGGCACACTCTGCAAATTTCATACGTATACTGTACTTGATGCCAACTTTCATTGCCTCTAGTATGAAAATTCTATTTCAAGACTTCCCAAAATAATTAAAAAAATATATATATATCGTCGCTGGAATAATGAAATCATGATAAAAACATAGCAAGGTAGAACCGTTCTCTCATTTCGTCGGCCATGATTTTTATTTTTAAGTTTGCCAGCATTTTATAATCATATAAAATTGAAAATAAAAAATTGAAATTGTTCGAAATTGTTGTTGCTTGAGATTGAAAATGAAAATGTGTGTGTGAGTTTGTGAGTAAATTTAAAAAGTAAAATGTTTGGAAATGTTATGAATTTTAAAAGTAACTCTCAGCGGTTCTACCTTACTATATTTTTATCATGAATGAAATAGTGTTACATGAAAAGTATAGTTTTGAGAAAAACGAATTGGAAGTTTTTATAAACCATTACAAACCATACAAATACAATTTCGTTTCTCGGGAATAAATTAGTGAGTCAAAGAGATATTTAAGAAAACTAAAGATTTTTCTAATAGATTAAAGGATCGTCTATCCAATGGTGCAATTATCGAATAATAGTGTATGTGGCATTTACACTGTTTCTTTATTCGAGCGACGATATATGATTTTTTCCAGTCACACTTTTTCGCATAATTAAACATTTTGAGGCTAAAATTGTTGAAATACTTAATTTATTTTTATTTGTTTCTGGAACTCCATGGATTGAGATAAATTCGAGAGTAATGCTTTAGAGTTTTTTTTTCTGGCAAGAGAAGGGAGTGACACTGATGCAAGCAACTCGTGGGATTTGCTCATATGCACTATCCTTTATTTTAAAATTTTGCTATTGTTACAGTACTCAGCTTTATTGTTAACAATATTTTTAGTACATTTTTGTTTGTTTTTTTTTTCTCTGCTATTATTTCTAGTTTATTTATCGATTTTTTCTAATTTTTTTTATCGATTACTTTTTTTGATCGAATATTACCGATATTGATCAACATGCATACAAGTTAATCAAAATCTGTCTCGTCTATACACTATGGTAGGCTTTGAGTTATCGATTATTTCTATAGTATTTAGATATATTAATTGATTTTACTTATCGATTTAATATTTTCGATTTATTTTGGAAAATTTTACCGATATCGATCAGCATAAATAAATGTTAATCAAAATTTGAATTCAAAAACAAAGATTCTCTAGTGTATTCGTATTCATAATTGTATTGGCTTTTATTTTCATCCATCACAGTTGCCGCCGAAAACACTTTCACTAGATTTCACAGCGAAGGGCAAAGGTTCCGTGTTAGTTCAAATCGCCTATCAATACAATATTATCGAAAAGGATCCTAAGCCCAGCTTCAACATTCAAACTCTAATAAAGAAGAACACGCCAGTTTTGAAATTGGAAATGGATGTTTGCGTTGAATATGCCGGCGAAGGAGATGCTTCCAATATGGCGTTGTTAGAAGTTACGCTACCCTCTGGTTATGTGGCCGATGTGGAGACCTTCGTACAACTAGAGTCAGTGCCCCGTGTCAGGGTAAGACAATTGAGCGATAGTAAGGAGACTATTTGAGTTAGCTCAAATTTTTACTTGCAGCAAGTGGAAAGCCAAAAAGACGATACTCTGATTGTCATCTACTTTGAAAGTCTACCCAAGAGTGAATTACAATGTTTGTCCATCGAAGCCCTGCGTCAATATGCTGTCGCACGTCAGAAACCGGCTTCAATTGTGCTCTACGATTATTACGACACGCTGAGGAGAGCAACAGCATACTATGAAGTAGCATCGAAAATGTGCGATATTTGTGAGAACGATGAACAATGCAAGAAAGCATGCGAGTAAGGTACTCGAATGAGTTCTTAAAATTCTGTGCTCCTAGGAGTAAATGACAAATATATATTTTAAGTCAACTTGTATTCCGAAACTTAACTGCGAGTAAATATTGAAAGGAATATTTAGTCGAAAAGGAATTGTAATCTTTTTTTTTCATCCAAAGTGATACTTAACGAATTTAGGAAGGACACTTCTTTTTTTACTTACTATAAATTTGAATACTTTTCCTAAAGTCACTTACAGTTTTCTTCGTAACAAGATATTTCTGCTTTTGTGGCAGTGGTCACGATCAAATTTTCACTAAAAATATTTACTATTTGCAGATCTATTCTACGTACTAACGAAAATATTATGATAAAAAATTTTTTGACTACGGTTCTAAAAGCGGATTTACCGTTTGTGTCCGGGCAACTTTTTATTTGAACTCAAAACTTTTTTGCCGGAGAGAGTGAGTGCTGAAGTACGGTTCACCGTTCAGGTCGACACATTCTATTTTGTCTGAAGCAAAGAGCTGATGATATTGATGCCCACGATTGAGAGAATACAAAGGTTGCGCCGATCTCGGACCGCTATTCCTCTCTTAACGAACTTGACAGAATCGTTGTTTGCATGACGTCACACTTGTGCAACTTGTTTACGTTTTCCTTGCAACATTTTTTCTTCTTCTTCCATTCTTGCTCACGTTTTGGCATTTCTCTCTCGCAATTGCACCAGTGTGACGTCACACAAAAGTTATTCTCAAAAATCCTCTCTGATTGGCGCAATCTTGTATTTTATCATTCTTGATTGATGCCTACAAACGAAACAATGATTTTGAAAGCGAAGAATACATGCAATGCATAAAAAAGAGAAAGCGGCAACCACGCTCATCACGTCGTTCTGACAGAAAATCAAAATCAATTTGATTCGTACAAAGAGTGTTCACCACATTTTTGTCGCGTTCTCAATGGGACAGAGTGGGAAAGGAAGGCGTAAAACTACCAACAAAAAGTGTCCGTACACGAACGTTGAATTCGCCTTAAGTATGTACATTTTTTTATCGACAAACAAATTAATCGATATCATATCCACATACTTGTTAATATGGATAATCTTAAATAATTATGGCCTCATCATCTAAAATTTCTTAATGTAATGTTGAAGCGAAAACGGTCACAAATGAATTCTGTTTACAGCCGAGAAATATTTCATTGTGGAAGAATCGTTCAATAAAAGCGAACGATAGGGTTTACGCTCTGTCATCAGGACATTCAACCGAACTCATTTCGAAGCTTCAACGTGGCCAACACCGCTTCGGTTGATAAGGAAAAATCTACACAAAATCACGATACGCACTTAAATAGTTTTCATCGACGATTAGTCACCTCGACCTCAATTTATTGGACTGTATGTATGTAAGTTATAGTCCATTTTGGAGACAATGGCTTGCACTACTCGACAGTGAAGTGTTCAGTTCGTGAAGCATGCCCTTGCCCAAATAGTGGAAAATTTCTCATAGTATGAGGTGCATACTGCATTCGGAGAGTGACTAATATGGTGTTCTGAAAACCATTTGCCAAGTATGTACACTAGGATGGTCCAAAAATTTATGTGAAAAAGTAAAGTCGGAATTTTAATGCTCTTAGTCCCTAGGAATCAAAAAATACTTAGAAGACCAAAGCGGGTGTCGTCCTCTAAAATGGAGGAAATCATTTTTTTATTGAATAACTCAAAATTATGAACTACCAAATCGGAGATGCTCTGTCTTTTGGTGGTATAACCGACTTCCGCTCTCGACCGGAAGTGAGCCAAACTGACCGGAAGTCCATTTTTTTACTAGATATACCAGTGGTGGACCCAGGTAGGGGAAATTGGGGAAATTGAATTTGAAATTTTAGCTGTGTGCTAAGCTCGAAGTATTATGTCTATCAGTTTTTCGAATTCACTGAATTTTCAAAATTTAGAAATTATGTACTTAATTTTCAATTTTTACTTTTTTTTGTTATATATTGGAATTTGTATTATTTTACACAGTTGAAAGTCACAGCAAGTTTGAATATTTTCACAGGTTCAGAAAACAACGAAAATTAATATTATTAAATTTCTTGAGATTTCTTATTTTTAGGATAATTTCCAAAATTTCAAAAACTATCTAAATCCGGGAGATTCTAGTAATTTTGGTAAAATGAGAATATTTTGAAATGTACAAAATTATTGAGATTTTAGAAATTTGTATATTTTCCAAAATTTTGAGAATCTTATTTATCCTAAAACCTATCTTAAAATGTAAAAATGTGAAACATCACAAACTGTCGAAAAATTCTTATGTTCATGGTACTTGTGTGTAAAAAATAGAAAATTCTTAGAATTCTAAAAGATAGATATTAACATTTTTTAAAAATTCCAAAATTGTTCCACTTTTCGGAACTTATTCAAATTTTTGTAATGATATAACAAAGTTTGAGAATATTAAATTTTTTGAAAATTTTGAAAACATCAACCATGATAAAAAATATAGTAAGGTAAAACCGTTCTCCCAATTCGTCGGCCATGATTTTTTTTTAAGTTTGCCAACATTTTAAAATGATATAAAATTGAGAGTAAAAAAAAAGGAATTGTTCAAAGTTGTTGTTGTTTGAGATTGAAAATGAGAATATTTGTGTGAGTTTGTGTGCAGAATTTTAAAATTAAACTGCTTGCAAACGTCAAGAATTTGCAAAATTCCTATCAGCGGTTCTTCCTTCCTATTTTTTTTATCATGACATCAACGTCCAAAAATTTTTTGCATCTCCAAAAATTAGGAAAATTTTTAAATTTTTAAAAACGACGAAATATGAAAATGTTTTCAACATTCGAAAACTTTTAATTTCGTTTGATCAAATTTGTATATTCGACACTTTTACTTAGAAAAAACTTGTTAGAATTCCTACAATTCTCAAAATTTTTGAAAAATAAAAAATTTCTAGAACTCTAGTATTCATCATTATATTGAAATATTGTGATTTACTAAAATTTCTCAAATTCACAAAGTTTTGAAAGTTTAGAAAATTTTGGAATTCCACTCAAGTTATTTAAAATGGGAAACTTCCAGAAATTCAAAACTATCAAAACTCTAAAAATATTAAATTGCGGTGATTTTTAAATTTATATACACGATATATGTATGTTGTTTTAAATATGTAAATTTTTTATCGGAAGTGCCTTTTTCAAATGACCTTCGAACTTTAACTAGTCCTAAACTTCTTAAATGAGTGAAAATTCTTTTATTGGAAAACGAAAAAAAATTAATTACCAAGTCGGAGATGCTCTATCTTTTGGTAGTATTACTGCACCATTTTAAACGGAAGTCCATTCCAGGAAAGAGTTTCCAATCCGAATCTGTGGTAAAACCATGTATGTCTAATTAAAAAAACTGGACTTCCGGTCAATTTAACTTACTTCCGGTCGAAACCGATCGGAACGGGAAGTCGGTAATATCGCCAAAAGAAAGAGCATTCCAAATTTCGTAGTTCAAAATTTCGCGTTATTCAATAAAAATATGTTTCCCTCCACGGGTGGTCTGGTACACCTTTTATGTATCTATATATGTGACCTGGTCTACGGAAAGGGGGCTTAGGTGTCAAAAAATCAATTTTCACTTTTTGGTTGATTCGGAGGGAAGATGAGATGCTTTTTCACGTGGTGAAAAGCAGAAAATCCTAACTTGCTTAGAAGTGTACTAAAAATGTAGAGAAAGAAGAGTAAAAATACGACAAAATATAATTTATTGGTAATGAACAAAATACATTGAATTATAAGCTATAAAGACATGATTATACACTAGAAAAACGTATTATGGGCCAAAAATAATAATTCTGAGTAGCTTATGTATTTTTCTTTGTTGCCGTTTGCCTTGAAAATGACGTACTAAATTTTCGTAACGCTTCGTCGTACAGGCATGTACAAAAAGGAAAAACGAACGACAAACAGGTACTCTGTAGAAGGTAAATTGAATTCTATGCCTCATAACTTCTGTATCCTGTCTCTGTCCATATTTCTTCCGCCCAGCAAGCTTTGCGTATACACTTTCTAGCTTTTCGTTACTCATAATTCCAGCTTCGATGTGACTTAGTATCACTAAATCAAGTTCATTTTTCGACATCTCTAAACAATTGTTCCGCGTACTCTCGATCATTTCCCGTGGTATCAGTGTATGGCATTCATTATTACAACAATCTTTTGACAGAAATTTTGTTACCAGCTCCTCCTCCTTTACATCAACAACATACAGGTCCATCTTAACAAAAGTTTGTTCGGTATCATCTTCTGCCTGAGATACACATACTTCGTCTTCATCATCATCGCTCTCTTCATAGTTTTCATCATCGTTTTCATCATCCTTTTCATGGAAATATTGTCCGTATACGGCACTGAACTCCTCATCAACACTCATGTTTCATTTCATGAGAAATGCGAAGACGATAATCAACAGAAACAGTAAACGTCACTTCTTCAGTGTTACTTTTTTAAATGTTCCACACTAGCAACTTACACGATGAACTATAATAATATTCCGACCAACAACAACACTTACTGGACCAACAACAACACTTACTGGACCAACAACAACACTTACTGGACCAACAACAACACTTACTGGACGTCCGGCGCGGAGAACAATTAACGAGATAATGAGAAACTGACGAAACGAGTTGCTTACTTTTAACAGCTTTTTCACAGAAAACTAAGTTTCGCACGTAAGCTCCCTTTTCGTAGACCAGGTCACATATATAAAATTAAGTGGCAAAACTTCCTGTTCGCATACTCCTCCTAGACGGCTTGCCCGATATCAAAGAAATTTTCAGGGGTGATTGGGGTCTGTGTGGAGGGTGCACATAAAAAATTTCATGTGTGTATCTTTGCACGTTTTGCAAACACAAAAAAAAAAATTAATTCTGTTTGGCTTTACGTGTTTTTTTCGGATTTCTATCATTCCTAGACGGCTTGCCCGATTTCAACGAAATTTTCAGGGGTGAATGGGGTCTGTGTGGAGGGTGCACATAAAATGAAACTTTCAGAAGTGATGCATATAAGAGGGTGCATATAAGAAATTTAATGTGTGTATCATTGCACGTTTTGCAATTAATTCTGTTTGGCTTTACGTATTTTTATTATTGTT